CCGCTACTAAAATAACCAAAGGAAATTCCTATAGTCAGAGCTTTCACTCACAAAAAGGTAATCTACACACAAACACACACACACACACACACACACACACACACACAGATATTTAAAAAAACATGGAAGAGAGGCACCGAGCTAAACCTAAACCCAAAGAAATGAAAAATAAATTGAAAAATATAAGCATAGGATAAACACAAAATAAGTTAATTTGACATCTTCGGGGAACTTCAATTATTGTATTCATAAAATAAAAAGAGTCTGCTGAAAAAAATGAAATAAAAATAAAGTCTCAACTCTTAAGGCAAGGACAAATTAAAACAAGAGGTTCAAGTCTCTCTGTTGAAAATAAGGGCATAGACTCCCTCCTTCCTTTTTTTAGAGCATTTTCTTTGGAAAACATAATTCCAAGTTCTCTCCCTTTGAAATGCGTGTAAATCTTTTTAAACGCTAAGTAAGCTTTTTGCCAGCTTTACAACCCAGATATGTCTTTATGGAAGATCAGAGAGCCTGGTCTTTAAAATGAAATCATACAAAGAGATAGTTCCCCTACCTCACAGTTTCTGTGGAAAGGTAAAGAGCCTAACGTAGGTGGGCTTACCTCCACCAAGTTGTAAACCTTGCCCCTGCCATAAAAATATGAGTTTTTTTTTTTTTAACTTAGGATTAAACCAATTGCCTAACACAGATGTTCACCCCAGCTACCAAGTGAATTTAGGATAACTTATGTGTAACAAATGGGATGCTACATCCTCTTGAGGACTAGTTATTGTTTATCTTGAGAACCTGCATGTAGCGGGTTGTGTCTGCTAGGCTATATGAAAGGGTACAATTCCCTTCTGTCTTTGGAAATTCATAGAAGACTACCTGCCTGCACATCACATTCTGGTTTAATGTTTATTTAATAATAAACCGATTTTCTTTCTCTTCTACTTTTGTGGAGGGTTTCCATGGGTGGTAGAAAGTTTTATTTTTCATCATATTTTCCCAACACAATTAAGAGACAAATTATAGAGTTGGAAGAATGAGCCAAAAAGTCCCCCAGAAGGCAGCATATGAAACAAATATATGATGAAAAAGTTAAGACATAGAGGATAGATCCAGCAGTGCTATTGCATATTTAATAGGATTTCTAAGAGAACTAATGTAATTGAGATGAGCTGTAATAGAGTAAAAAGGAAAAACTTTTCAGCATTATAAGGAAAACATAAGCCTTTGAAATGAAATAAAATGAAACAAAACTGAATTTCAAGGAAGATAAATGGACAAAAGACAACACTTCGAAACACAGAAGTAGAATTTTAGAACTTCCATAAAAATGATAAAGCCCAAAATATGTTCAGAGAAAAAAGGATGTGCATTCAAGTTAAAATATATAAAATAAATCATTATTGCCAGAAATAACTTTTTATGATCTATATCTATCAAAGGCAAAGTTGTACTTACTGAGTATCTGCTTTTCTCATTGTCCTTGGGATGACCTTCCTCCCTTTTGAAGCCCCAAGGTGCCTTACCTCATCCTTAGTTCAGAATGTCATATGTGTACCTCATTTTCCCTTTCTGTCCCAGAATCTCTCATGTATGTAGGGTCTCTGAATCTCTTATGTATGTGGGGTTCCCATATGCACACAGTCATTAAATTTCATTATTTTCTCTTGTTAGTCTGTGTCATGTTGATTTGAGTATTAGACCAGGTGGAAGAGCTAAGAAAAACAGAGAAAAGTTTCTTCCTCTCCCACAGTGTCACCCCCATGTCTAAGAGCAGGGAAGAGGGTGTTCTATCACCAGCAGCATAAACCCTTCCTTAGATACATAATGGATTTTGCTTTATCTGAGAGAAAAGTGATTTAATTATGTTCTCAAATAATAACTTCCTTGAATGCCACGTCTATGAACCCAATATGTCAATTATAATGTGGACACACAGACATCTCTGTTCATTTTCCTGAGAATAAGGCCCTGTAAAGTCTCAGGGCTACAACAGAAGAGATTCAGTTCTCTCATCCTAAAATCTAGAGAGGAGGAAGGACTCAAGGTCATTTATTTTCTAGACTCCCTTCACCCCTGCAAGTCAGCTGGGTCAACAATTTAAGTTGTAGGGCCCTTAGAGCATTATCTTTTCTTTGATCCTAGCAATGCCATGTGGATTGATTTTAAGGTATGCCAATTCTTCAAAAGGCTTGATCTCTAGTTTAAGAATGTGAGTTAAGAAGGGATTTTATTGGAGTTTTTTGGCTTTAGGAAATAAGACATAAGAGACCCCCTGCCTCTTACAGTCTTCTGTAAATCTCTGTCTCTAATTGTTTCTCCCCTTCAAAGCAAATTCCTATATGCTTCATAATGTATTAGTGAAGTCTCCAACAGGCACATGTGTAAAAACCCTCCACCATCCAGGAGCAGTTCAAGATGAAGTGATTAGCAGTATTTGTTGTCAGGCTGTCTCCAAGAGATGACAATTTATATCAATTCACTGTGTGTCAAAAATCAGAGAGTGTGCCAAGGTGAAAACGCAATTCCACAGTTCCCAAAGGTGGATGAAATTTCCTGCTCCACGTGTGAATTTAATGTGTTTGCAGCTTAGAGAGAGGTATCTGGCCTTTTACGACAGACGGACTCTTACAGCACCACCTGCCAGCTGATGGAGCAACACTGCATTTGCCCAAAGCTACCTGTTGTGACTGTTCAGAGGCCTCCTCGCTTGTTCCCCACCTGCTCTCTCTCCTATCCAGTCTCTGCCAACGCAGAGCTTCTGGCTCCACTTCTCAGTCTCGACGCTCTGCTGGCCTTCTGGGCTTTCAGTCTACTTAGCATCTGACAAGCAACTTACCTTATCAGACTCCAGCTTGAACGTGGCTTAGCCTGGTCTACTCCGACTTAACTGTGACATTCTCAGAAATCAAGCCCTGGCTCCAGCAGTTTGTGTAGAGCCTCGGCCGCATCTCCTATGATGGGATCCAGGATCGTTCTTAACATACGCAAAAACGAAACAGTACAAAACAACCTGACGCAATGGGAATTAGGGATTTATTCTCTTCTATCATTCAGTTACACTCCCAGTGTATCTGTCCATACATTTCTATGACTTAATCTTAGGTAACACAGGAGAATCACAGCCGCCTTGTCCACTTAGAACGCCATTCTCTTTCCTCTCGTGCATCAATTCTAGTCATATAAAGAAAATAAATCACTCCAGCTGACTGAACCTCCCTTCCAACCCTGATTTCATCTTTCCCATATCATTTGGCAATCCCTTAAGCCTGCGTTTCAATACATATCACCAAAACAGAAAAGACCATTGATAAAAACAGAATAATCTACCCAGATAGGATGAAGAGAAAGAAATTATTCCATTTGCACTTTCCCTTTGAACCCTTTTGACCCCCTGGAAAATGGAGGCGAGTATATGAAATGCACAGTGTCTGCCGACAACTTGCTCCACTAATCTCTCCCTCACTCATCTTCAGAATTCACAAGGGTCCCTGTTTTGTTTACTCCCTCTATTGTAATCACAGATATTCTGAAGATTGTAAATTTCAAGTAAGAAAAACATCGTAAATGAGATATACTGTGACTAAGCAGCTACTCTTAATCTATCTGAGACAAAGTGCGTAGATTGCACTTTGGAGGTAACATCAGCAATTAGCTAATAAGGTATTCAATTTGACCATAGAATCAGTGGTTGAAATTTAGCAAATTGTTGGTGTCTTATTCTGTTTGAGCTGCTAGAATAGAATAGCATAGACTGTCCAGCCAATGAACAACAGAAATTTATTTCTCATAGTTCTGGAAAGTCCAAGGTCAAGTCCAGCAGATTGAGTGTCTGCTGAGAATCTGCTTCGTGTTTCACAGATGCCCTTCTTTTTGCTCACCAGGCCGAAGGAGCAAAACAGCTCTCCGGAATCTCTTTAATAAGGGTACCAATCCTATATGGGCAGAGCCTTCATGAATAATTACCTCCCAAAGGGCCCACCTCCACATACTGTCACTGTGGGGATTAGGTCTCATCATAGGAAATTGAGGGAGACACAAACATTCCACCCTATTGAAATCAAAGTTAATTCCTTCTTAAAGGAGAAGGGTTCTCCTCTATTACATAAGTTTTAAATCATTCCATATCATCCCTATCAAGACACGTATGTTATGGGTGCTAAATAGATCATTGTTTCTTGCAGCGATTATGTTGTATTTCTTAGTTTCCAATGCTTAGTAATTTCTTTTTTCTGGATTTTTGTTCAGCACCTTTTCCTTCTTCTACCTTACCACTGTACAAGTCAAATTTCCTACAAACTACCAATGAGCCTCTGAAAAATAATACCGTGATCCATCTCTGAAGTTGACAGTTATGAATTATTCCCAGCTTACCCCACACCAAACCTCCCAGGTAGCTTGACTTGGTCAAAAGAAATAGAAGCTTAGGACTGTTGGTGCCTCCTCACCCACCGGTGATGCACCTCCAAAACACAGTTTAAGATGAGGCTATTTCTTTCTTGCCTAAAATGATGGACAATACTGATTGCTAAAAGCAAGTTGGAAAAATGTCACAGGGTATTTTTTTTTCTTCATATTGCACTAGATTTTTTTTTTTTTAAAGTGTACTGGATAGCCAGAATCTGTGGCTTGTGTGTGTTCTGCATTCTCAATTCATTGTTATGGAAAATGGAGCTGAAATGACGTATGTGAGGCAAAACACACTTTGAAACGTCAAGCTTTTGCCATGTGCCTTTTAGCCACCTTCGGTGTCAATTAAGTCATTTATAGAACGTCTTTTCATCTGCTTCCCAAATCTGATCATATAAAAGTAATAGGGTATTGTCTTTTGCCCTTTGCGTTGGGAGGTTATCCAATTTCCATTCCCAGATGTGCATCATGCCTGCTCTTTTTTGTCTTTAAAATAAATCTGTTGCCTAAAGCTAAATATACAGTACTTTGAACATGACAATGAAGCTATTTTTAATTTGTCCTTTCGTTTTAATTATGCTGTTGGTATTATTTTGTAGGTACAACTTGCAATATTCTTGCTGCCACCTACAGGCTCCCCTGTGTACCACCTGTGATGTTGGGGTGGGGAGGTAAGTATAGAATTACCTGTTTATCTTGAAATAGAGATCTTGCTGCATTTCTAATCATTATTTGCCAGCATGGATATGAGTTTGTTGAAAATGCGTTTTTTTTTTTTTTGAACAATACCTACATCGTTACTTATTTCATGAACATAAAAATATCTGCAAGATCCTCAGAAAATCTGTAAATGGGACAATCTCTGCAAATATAAAGAATTCACTTGGGACACTAGAAGAGAAATCCTACACAAATGTGTTCTTAATCGTTTCCACAAATAATAAAATCAGCATGTTTGTGAAAACCCTAAATACATAATTGATCAAAGCAATTTTTACAGTTTAAAATTTATTAGCAGATGTGAAAAGGAAGGTTAAGAGAAAAAAAACCTCAGTCTGTTAGGAAGTATTTCTGTCTCATAGTGACAATTATTACCGAGCTGAGCTAATGGGGAAAGACCAGACCAGAGAAGCAGGAACGGAGGGGGAGCCGAAAGAGAAAATTGAATCCCAGAACCCTCTTGTGAATCTCAGTTCCCTATGAGGCTGGGAGAGCCCAGCACTTGTGAGATCAAAAGAACGTTCTCTCTTCGAGAAGCTGGCCTCAGAGGACAGAGGTGAGTTACTCGTGCAATATGCTGTGGTCTTTAAATAACACCTTGCCGATCGCCCAGTACCTACCTTCCTTAGACCTTTTTACTGTTTCTTGTTCCAATATACACGCCTCTCAGAGTAAAAGTCACTACTCACAGTGTGATGTAGAGCTGTGTGCCACTTCCTCGGCCTTTAACTATTGCACCCCCCTGGGCCTAAAACCCCAGAATTTGGAACGCTTTCACACAGTACAAAGCAACATTTGAACATGGAGTGGGAACCTATATTTCTGTGAATAATCCATTTAACTTCTCTGTGTAATCTTTGCTTTATTGGTTGAAGAAACGAGCCCTCGCAAGGTGCGTACTAAGTTCCAGGCCCTGTGCTTGGCACTAAGGACGAGAGATAAATAGGACAAAGCCTTTATTGCAAGGAGAATCCTTTCTCACTGGAGTGACAGAAGAAAGAAAGTGCAATATGGTGTGATAAGGACTAGTACAGAAGTAGATGCTGGCACAATGGCAGTACTAAAGAGGCAGCGTGCCTCTCTGTTGGGAAAAACCCTGGAAGGCAAAGGGATAGGGAAAAAAAAAATAAGACAGACAAATAGACCAGGAAGAAGGGACAGGCTCGCTTTGCCCATGCCCTTCAGTTCTTTCTTTCCTCACCTCTTGTTTCTTGCCAGGTGGAGGATTTTTAAATTAAAATTAAATTAAAATTAAAATCTTAGTAGGATAGTCTTGGCAATATCAACTAGGACCCAGGGCTCAGCACTATAATTGCCACATAGAATATTCCAGTTATTCACTCATTATCAATGCCCTCTTCAGTCTCATCACTTAAAATGCAAATATTCCAGAAATGTACACCCAACCTTCTCACTACACTTCCTTGCGTGAGAGCAAGAATGAAGGAGACTTTCTCAGCACCCTAAAACTATTCAATGAATGTCACCTGAATAAACATGACCATTGTGTGATTCCTCACATTCTTGCCCAAATACTAAATCCTGCTGGATTTTTTTTTTTCCAATTTGTATTTTTTTCCCCTCTGACAATTTATTTTTAAAATTTTATCAATGTTTAAATATAAACTACTTTTATAACGTTTCAGTTTTAGAAAACTAAACTTCTTTCACATAAAATAAAATAGAAATAATGAAAAACATTTTATTTCAACAATCATGTTCTCAGGAACTTCAGTATACCTAGCCATATGAGATCCTGTAATAGCTATAATTTTTGGTTACATTTCTTCTCTGTAAAAGTATTCCAATGTATAGGGAGAAAAGGAAAAAATATTATAGATATTTTTATACATATTTATACATATACGTATTTATACATAAAAGCAGACAAGTTTACCTCTGGGAAATTTTGAAATTGATGAAGCCTATCGCTAATATCTCTAAATTCCCTTTTTGTACTATTTCCCCATTTCCTCTAAGTATTTTCTTTCTCTTCACTATTCATGATGATCACCAGGCCAGCAAATAACAAAGCTGCTTGCAACTCCCAGTCTATCTCACTGGGACGAAGGAAATGAATCACTATGATGGACGCTTTAATAGGCTACACTCCCCAGCAGTATATGACTTTCAACTGAACCAACCAGAGAACACACTGTTCACACAGATGGAGTGATCGCTCCTGGTGGAAAGAAGAGCTTCAACAATTGTCTCACTGGCTACTCTGTGTGCATGTAATGCCAGTTCTGAAAGCATAGGATGAAATGATAGGATTTCCAATGCAGAGTATGAAGCAAAGGAGAGCAGAGAATAAATGTATCAGTGTATCCTCAAATAGCATGGAAAAGCTTCCTGCAAAATGAGAGATTTGAATAGTTCTTTAGGGAGAGATATAATTTGGAAAATCAGAGAGAAAGGGGAAGTTGGGAAAAGAAAGGGCACCCAGGTAGAGGAAGGATCAATATGAAGAATAGACATGGCAGGGATGGCGACAATTTGCTTTTCAAGAATAATTTAAATTAAGACATTTTAAGTTTGCCAGTAGTTTTTGTTAGTTTCAGAATACTCACTGTAGATTGTCACTTTAGGTAAAAAGTAAAAAATAAAAAAAAAATTAACTAAATATTTTCCCATTTAAAAAATCTGCCTAAAATACAAATGGAGATAAACATTTATGATATTTGACCATTTCACAATTCTCTGATAGTACAGTATTTGATTTATTGTAATAAACTTTAAGAACCAGACTTTCCTTTAATTATTAAAGTCTAATTCCAAAGTGGGATTTTAATTAAGAATGAGAATTAGGGAGTGTTTGAAATGAATTCTGGTGAGTTTCTCCACAGACAAGAGAAAACAGATACGCGATATTTTGACCTTTCCCTAAATTCCCAAGCCCACCGATTTCTGACTTAGATCAGTCCACCCTGATTGGATTCTGAGAATTCTTAATCAAGCATATTGCATTAGAAATTATATTGATAGTTGAAAGACTACAAAATATTAAATATACCAAAGTTTTGTTGATTTTTTCCTAACATATCTAGTCGGATGTTTATTTTCATTCTTTCTTTTTTATTGATGTAAGTATTTAAGGCTATGACTTTTCCTCTGTGTTCTGATTTAACTCTGTCCCATTGATTACTGTATTGTTGTTTTCTGGAAAATCTAAAATTTAGGGGTTTTTTTGTTTTGTTTTCATCTTTAATTCAAGAGTATTTGAGAAAGATTTTAACACTAAGTATTTTATATCTTGTTATGTTTAGTTTATTGTATTAGAATAATCTTTAGATGTATACAGGCTTTCTTTATGGTCTAGAAAAATAGTTTTAAATGTAACAGGCATGTATTTAATTTTTAAAGTAATGAGTACCAAGTTTATCTTCTCGCTCATGTTGTTAAGGAATATCATATTATTGAGTGTGTTTTGTTTATTTGCTTCATCTAGGTCTGAGAGTAATGATGAAAAATCTCTGACTATTTTTAAGTCCATTTTGCCATCTCCCATAATTTCTGATTTATGAAAGTTATTGCTATGCTGTTTGGTACATAGGTGTTCAGAACTATTATATTTTATTGTGAATCATACACTTCACATTTTAAACTGTTCTATTTTGTGTCACATAATGCTCTTTGACCTGAATTCTGCTTATCTGAAGTTAACACCAAGACTTCTGCTTTCTCTGTTACACTGGCCTGGCTTAGCTTTACCAAACTTACTTCCTTTTTTCTTTTGGTTCTTCTGAGTCACTTTGTTTTAAGTGTATCTCATACAAATTAGAGTTGAGCCTTGCTTTGTAATTGCATATGCAAATCCTTTTCCTTTGAATAAGTGATTTAGGCTCATTTATATTTATATATTTATATTTATTAATATAACAGGCATGTTTCCTTTTAATTGCATATTCTTTTGTTGTTTTTCTCTTTATATTTATGTATGAAGTATGTTTTCTTTGTATTTTATGTCATTATTCTCATATTTATAAAGGTTAATATTAAAGATTATAGTCTTATCATTAGCTTATATCTTTAATACTTTCCCCTTGTGTTTTTAAACAGAATCATTTCTTAATTAAAATATTAAGAGAGAAATCATCTCTTAATTAAAATATTCCCTGGGTTATATCTATTTGTAGTATTTAAATTTGAAGAAAAGTTTAGTTGTATTTAAATATCTTGGCTCACTCTTTCTGGAATACAGTATAGGTTGCTTCATTGTCCTGATACTG